TATACAATTATAAAATAAACATATTTTGTTGTTAACTTCAAGTATACTTACGGCTATTCGTTTTTGAATTACATCTAAATAAGAAAATCGTTATTTTGATTGTAAATATCTAAGTCGTACAAATTGGACTTCAAGAAACTTCAATCGCTAATAAAAAATTAATATATGATTTCTTGGTAAACCTTTTTTTTGTTTATTAATGATAGAAAAATCTATAGAACTTTGTATTAAATTTTTAAACCTTAGGTATAGACATTTTTTTATTATATTTTCTATTATTTTATTATTTCTAACTACAAAATAATTTGCGAATTTTCGCTATTTTGACGATTGTCAAATGTGTAATAAATAATAATGATATACGTAACTGAGGGGTGGAAATCCAAAACTCACTATTGCCAAAATACCTAGTGATTTTTCAGGATAAATGATTTTCTGTATCTTTTTTTCTGTTATTAATGTTAGTTAACTGAAGCCAAATAATGAAATAAATGTAATGTCTTATGGATTACACAGATTTAAAAGAAAAAAAATATTAATTTTTCGACTATAAACCTTATAGTTTTATGGTATTTAATAATAATAATAATAATAATAATCCATAAAAAATATATCAAAGTTTAATGGAAATAGTTCGTTTTTAAAAGGATTAAAATGTACTCTAAAACGAGTTTTTTCCAAAATAAAATGCTATTAATGTTTCCAGACGTTTCTATTTTTTAATGTTATTTTACTATTATTATCTTATATTTTCTTTTGCTCTCTTTACCATTAGGTTAGGTGTAACCTATACCTGAAYTTTTAAAACTTGATTAACAAAAAATAAAAATGATATGCTGTTATTATTTAAATGTATTGTTTGTTAGGTACATATTTTAAAGGTTTTTATAAATAGACAAGTAATTTTGAAGATAAGGTATTATTTTTAAATTATTTTATAAGAAATTATTTATTTTTCAAACAACTCATATGTGTTCAACAATCTAAAATTATATTTTTATAATAACTTTTTATGAAAATCAAAATAGTTTTAAGAATAGAAGTTTAGGACTAACAGTTTTATTTCCCTATAACTATAACAAGGGTGTTTTAGCATAACATATAGAAAGTACGTCTCGGAATAATTTATAGCAATAATAATTCGTTTTGATATAGTTAATGATTGGTGCCTATTCTTGTAACATGGGTACGTTTCAATAGTACGTTTTTAGGCATAAAACTGGAAAATTACGTTTTAATTATCTAAATACTAATTAAGTGATGGGTGGAAATTGTTCGTTTTGGATTAACCATCAGTCATTTTTAAATGCGGRTTTGACAAGGATATAATACGTTTTGATCTATTCTGACGATGCCAATCGATTACTCGATGTCTTTTCCTTAATAAATAATAATCAATATCTAACTTGATTTTTTCAATTTTGGCAATATTACGTTTTGGATTTCCACTCTCAATCACCAAAATTTGTAAAATATTTTCAAAACATTTTTGAATTGTAAAAAACAATTCAATGGAGAAAAATCAATATTTTTCGTTTAATTTTCCAATTTCRTTTAAATTTGAACTTCAAACCCTATATATCTACAAAAAATATCGTAAATTTATACTTACGATATTTTCAAACTATCGTATTTAGGACAAGTTAAGACTGTTCATGAGTAATAACTTTCGCTAGTCGTATTTAAATTTAAGTACATACATTTTGTATAAATCATTTATACACCTTCGAATTTCAGATCTATTTTTATATTTCATAATATATTTGTTAATCCTATAATAGATTTACCATATTTTGTAATTTTTAAGACCACGGACTTTATAATCATTCAGAGTTTAACGCCTATCTTTTTGTAACTATATACATTCTTTTGGTAGAAGCCCGTTATTTGGTAATCTACAGGTATAGTCTTTGTGCTTTTACCCTAACATATTATTTGCAAACATAAAGTGTTCGACAACTACGCCAAAAGTCAGCTGAGCTTCGTGCAGAGCTTTGCGGGACAGGCGAACAAACTGGCGTACGCCGAATGCCTTAACGAGTGTCGTGCGGTCGAGATRGTCTATCCACTGTTGCACAACATCGACCCTGARGTGAGGACGACAGCGGTGTTGGGCTTGTCGAGATTGGCGGGCAAAAGCCAGTCATGTGCCAAACAAATACTGTGTGCGAACAATCTACTGAAAGAGCTACTAGGACAGATTGCCAACGAAAACGTACGTACCTACATGAACCACCAACTTATGTTGAGAAGAATGGAAACAATAAAGTAGGCGCTCGGGTAGTAGGGTGCCCGCCCGAAAATGGTTTGGTATACCTTCTTCACCTATCCTACTTAATGGTAATTGGTGTCTGTATTCTATACTAAGTAAAATATTTCTACAGTCGGGTCGCGATAACTCAAAGTTTAAGTGTGATTTAAAATCGTTTCAAAATGTGTATAATTCAAAACGCCTAACTCGAATTTTATTTGATCCTATATCCTATAAACAATTGTTACTGTATGTATATATTGTAAAAAGTAAATGTGTAGAGAAATTTTTACTAAATTTTATAGTTTAGATTTATTTATCATTTGTCCTTACCCAGGTAGTGCCTAATAACTAACATGTACTGAAATCGTCCCATCCATCCTCTGACTGGAGGTACTTCGGACTTTGAAGTTTGAACTCTGTTAAAAAAATTGGCCATCAGGATAGATATTTTTTGCTGGCTGTCGTTTACGTATCAAAACCATACTAAGTACCTTTAGCGCATCTGACACAATACCTACTAAATTTGTGTCCACTCATCCAATTATTTCCTACCACTATAAAATGCTCATTATTTAAAAAAAATAAACTCTCTGTCTCTTTATATTTTTGTAAATTATAATTGAGACTGCCACTCTATGAAATTGCGCCCCTGGCAAATGCTCTCTAGCCAGTGCGTAGCTACGGCCCTGTTGCGCATCACTGTTGTTAATTTTGACGTTTTTATAAGACAGTTGCGCATTATATCGTTTGGGTTATACATAATTTGCGTGTTGACCGTTTAAAAGATCCTACATCATTTCCGCATCAATATTATTCAACAATAGAAATGAAAAAAAGCGGGGAAGTGGGTATCGCTCTGCTGTACATTAGGTGGCGGGGTGGACCATTGACTAGGGTATGTTAGATTTGAATGCAATGATAGGTRTCATTGCATACGAAAAACGATTCTGAACGGAGATGAGTTGTCAGTCTAGGATATATTATTATATTTAAATATTGTC